CTGCAATATGGCATTATTTGCTAATTATGATTTCTAAACAGAATAAAACCATTCGTTTCATAAGTTGTTACCTTAATTACAACAGTAATTAAGGATAAATAATCCAATTTCTGCCTTAAACGAAGGGAAACTCATTTTACTTTGAAAGAATGGCTGAGGCGGACATTTTTCAAGCCATGCAAAAATAGTTTCCAAAGCATAATTAACCGTTTAATATTACGGTGTATGATATGAGTGTACGCTTTTTATGAGCTCCACTAGTAGCAAAACTAAATTTTTGAAAAACAAATTGGCGAAGAGCAGCTGCATTTTAAAGTTCCGTTATTAATTTCCTTATTGCTGTAAACACTTTCAACCTCAATTTTTTCAGTTTCTTCCTTCCATATTATTATTATTTGTATTGTATATTCTCAATACGCATTTAAAAATTTATTCACAAGAAGTTTATTTTAGTAAAGAATTAGTGGAATATAACGTAAAAATGACTTTTTTGTATCATTTTTCCTTTGACTTTGAAGCGTGTTTAATTGCTATTTTTATTCATATTCTGTAATTACGAAACGTCAGAAATGTGCTTTTATTATCGTGAAATTGTCTTTTATTTGCATGATAAACTTCCTGTATAATAATAAAATTATATATTGAATTTACCTATATAATCGAAGATTTTCTAAGAAATTTTAAATTAATAAAAATTGGCAATATTAGGCTTAATATATTTCTTAGACACAGTGAAGGTTTGAAAATGGTCTTCGAGATGGATATTAGTAACTAATATAATGAAGTAAAAGTAATTTCTTTTCTTTAATTGATTATTAATGTGATACTATAAAGTACCCATGCTACTTCAATGGATTAATCAAGAAAATGTAATTGATTAATAGAGCACATACAATAAATTTGTAATTATATTCAAACAAACACTGTTAACATTTAAATAATAATTAAACTAAAACGACTGAATTATGCTTATAACTCTCTTTTGCAACTACAACTGGGCTTTGAACCTCAAGAAATCTCTAACCCCACTCACGAAAACGTGCAACCTACAGTAGCTTTGTTTAGAAGAGGTATATCATCTACCCTATAATACCGATCTTGCTCAAAGCAACTGTTTAGTCTTGCATTTTAAGAAATCCGTGATCTCACGGACGAAGACACGCAGCTTACAGATGTTTTACTTGAAAGTAATAGACCATCTACCCCATAGTACTGATTTTATTGAAAGAAACTGGCTAGCTTAATATCTGCAGTAATCCCTGTCTCCATACAAAGACGTGCAGCTTACAGATGCTTGGCTTGGAAGTGATAGACCATCTACCCTATAATACCGATCTCTCTAAAAGCAACTGCCACCCGTTTTTTTTCATTTGAAGAAATTCTTATTCCTACAGAAGAAGACGTGAAGACTTTAATTCTAAGCGAAATTTTTCTACAATATTGAACAGCAAAAACTTATCCCCCGATATAGCGAATGTCTCATTTCGGGTAATTCTTATGTTTAGAAGTGACTGAAATATTTTTGCATGTTTTGCAACTTGTCTTTAAAGGTAATTATGTCATGTTTCTTTTTGTGGGCCACGGGTAGACCTTCGTAATGAAATTTTAAAAAAAACGTTCTGCTCTTTGTGTGTAGCTAAATAAGTACAAACAATGGTGATTTCTTAATATGTCTCGATCATTAAATCAATAAGCTTTTAATTGCTGTCCATTGTTGAAACCTCAGTATTATTTTAATACCGGAAGCGCAAAACATTTTTGATGTTCTACATTTCAGTAAACCCAAATACCTTAACAAATTTTTAGTAATGTTATTTCGTTAATATTTTAGTTAGTTTTGCTTTAATTTCATGTTTATGTGTTTACATTTTTTAGTTACGTTTTTTTATTTAAGGCTAATTTTTAACAATCTATTCACTATAATAACTATTTAGTAAACAATCTCAGTTCTGCACCACCAATGCATTACTGATATTTTTCTCTGCTTACGGTCGTCTCTGTATAAGTAACAGTCTCTTTTTTAGATTTCTTATTTTTAATGTCTTATATTGATTGCTTTATCACAGATACTTTCTCTTTTTGATAACTATTTTCATCATTCACGTTTTATTCTGATGAAGAGCATACAAAATTTCACTTTTTCGTAAGGTTTTTTATTGTTCCATTCATTTTAGTTTTTGGAAACAATTTGTTTGCAAAAAAACAGAATGTTGTTTGGTAGAAAATGTGAATAATGTATTTTTCAAAGCATGACTTTGATCACCTAAAATAGGAGAATCTACTGTGATATTGGATGATTAGCACCTTCTTAAATTTCGCTTCATTGATATTCAATGGATTGGTAAAAGTAATCATCCGTAAGTCATAGAAGGTCCTTTGTATAAATAAATTGGTCCCTCTTAACTGCGGACAATACAATTACTCTTGGCACATATATGTTTTGTTCAGTTGTCCCTATAAGTACATCACATCTACTAAACAAGCATCAAAATCTATTTATCTACAGGAAATAAAAAAAAAGTTTTATAAAACTTTTATTGTTCTGGTTGACATGAGATAAGACATTTTATTCTATGGTAATTCATATCACTCGTCAAATATTTTGGGGAAATCAATTTTTCTTTATCCAATCAAAGTTTCAATAGCCAACTTTGATAAGGTACGCATGAGCAATAAATTGCATTTATTGACTTTATTGTGGGTACAAAAAAATTGTGCTGGCAAACAATTGTAAAGAAAGGGCTTTCATATCATCATTATATTTCAGTATAGTGAAATTTGTAACAGTCTCGAACCAAATAAAGCATTAAACTAGAGGTATTATTAACCGCTTATTGTCTTAAAAGTATATTACTCATGATATCTGGATCTTATGAAAATCGTCATAATTTTACAAACTTTTTATTAAATCTCACTTTTTATCACCCTATATACCAAATGTTAAGCCAATGCAATTATTGCATCTGCTTGAGAGACCTTCCTTTATTAGAATTTTAATACGATTGAAATCCTGGAATTTATAAAACGCGACTATTATTAACTGAATATCTGCAGATAAGATTCAAGATAAGAATTTTGATAAAGCTATATTTTTTAGCAATATGCATTTCCATGAAAAGCTTCTTATCCAACTAAAGTACTAAGGATATTATCAAAGTACTTTTCTATATAATCTTTCAAACATTTTTCTTACATTTTGTGAAAGTTCTCTTCTACAATGTAAATTGTATTGTTTAAAAACATATTATTTTTATGATTCTACACACAAGGCTTGCATTGATTCTCTACACTTTCTTGACAATGAATAATTACAGAAAATATAAGAAAAAAACATCGATTTATGAAAAAAATGAAAATCTCAATATCTTAAGTTTCTCGAAAATTGAATCGAATCTTTAATGACAAATATGCTTACAGAATGCATTTAAACTTTAGACTTTTATTTACATCATTCTTATAATATTAAATCAAGTCTATAAAGAGAAAAATAAATAACTTAAATAAATAATTACATGCAAAAAATCAACAAAAAACAAAACGGCAATGATTAAAATGTTTATTTTTTTCAGACAGATAATTTATTTTTAAAATTTAAATACATCACTTACACAGTAATTTGGAATTGGATATATGTATTTGAAAAATTTCGAAAAATTTCAAACTAAACATAAGGCACGTGATGGTATTCAATGAAATTTATTTATAAATATTTTTTTCCAAATGAACTGGCTTTGCTAATTTGAAACCGCATTGTTTTTGTGAAATTTGGCTGACAAAAGTAGATGATACTTGTTTGTTTTGTTATTGAGCTATTATAATTAAAAATGAATAAATTAAATTGCAATATAAATATGTTTTTATATTAAGTGTAACAAAATTATTCAGTAGTAAAATATATAATATTTATTTATATGAAGTGCAAATTATAATCGGTATCCACCCTTTTATTTCCGAAATGTGGGCTAAAAGTAATACAACTTGATGAGCCATCTGGAGGGAAAGGCGGAGTAAACTTTTCTACCTCAAGAAAGGGACAAGAAAGTTACAGAGTTAAAAAAGATCATCGATGTAGAACATATGGACACATTATGTAGTTTAGTGTTTAAAAAAAACGTTTAAAACTTCAGCTGGTTTTTGACATTTCCTTTATTGCGACGCGTTGAAACGATTTAGAAATAAGAGAAACTACTAGGTAACGCAAAATAAATTTATTTTTGATGTGCAAAGCGTAAGAAAAATTTTAACATTGAAAATAGTTCCGTTGTGTTATAGCCATCTGCTTCTTCAAATCGTTTCTTTACGTCCTAGTGTGAGAAATCATGAACAAACTACTGAACCTTCCAAGTTTTAATTTCTGTTTGCTTTAAAATATCGTAAATAAGTCAACAATGTAATAAACTAAGCAATTTTATTTTTTCCATATCTTCATCATTTTCAAAATAAGAACGTTAACTCATAACCACTTTACGATACCCTGACACTATTTTTTTATTACAGTTGAATCCATTTGAAAGTCAAGACGGAGAATAAGTTTTCTAGTGGACATTCTGTATAAAATAAATAAATATAAAAGCTTTTTTTAGCAATTATTTATAGATAAGTAGAAAAATAAACTTGTTTTGGAAAAACATAATCCTTCAAGAGTATGGATCTTGTTGTTTTTTTTTTTCTTTTTCCAATTCAATTTAATAGAATTATAGTATTAAATGGAAGTTTTAGTGTAAATTCCGGCAGGTCTTATTGCCTGAAGGTAAAAAAAAAATAAAATGAATTGCTTTGAATCAAAACTTATTAAGAAATCAAAATGAGGGTACAGAATTGGAATCAACTGAGAAAAAAATATTTTATCAGAACCTGGTTTTTGTTATTAAATGTCTCATTAAAAACAACTTAAAAGTATAATTTGATTTACCATAATGATAATAAATGTGAAAGCAAATGAAAGTCTTAAGTTTGCTAATGCTAATTATCTGTAAACATCTCTTAAATGCTTTAAAAAATGTTGTGATGAAAAGTTTATTTGGAAGTGGTACATTTAAAATGTTTCTTACACACATTATTTTTAGAAGTTTCTTGCACATATCCATTTTAGACCATAGTATGATAATTTACTTGTTCGCACAAACCTTCGGGACTCACAAGTGGTTCAGTTGGTAGATAATATTGTGGCTAGAAAGATAAATTATATCATACTTATAAGTTATGCATTTATAAAGTTATTTGAAATAAGAATATTTCATATATGTATTAAACAATCGATGTTATGCATACAATTAAAGAGCTGTTCGTAATTCTTCAACATTTTCCAAGATTATACTAATAATTTCAACTTTACTATATAAAATAACATAAAAGAAAAGAAAAATAAAGTATTCATAAAAAATAAAAGAATTCTACGGCATTATTCATAATGTTAGATTCTACTATATAACCTAACACTGACAACCTGAAGGTACCAATATCAAAATATTGCACTAACGTACAATATAAGAGAAAAATAAGTTAAAAAAAGTTTTTCTTGTTTGGATTTGATCATTATCTCTATAATGCATTAAAAACTATCATAAGAAGGACTCTTTTATGCACAATTTTTTCTTTTAAAAAAGTTTTAAAAAATGTTGTTAGAGTAATACTATAAACCGGAACTATAAATCAGAAGATTATCTAAGAACGAGCCAATTTTACTGTGTTTTATCTAATATGTAACTTATAGAGATTTTCTATGTAATCCAACGCAAAAATAAACTTATTTCCATTTTATTCAAGGAAGCATTCCCTACAAATTTTCTTTCAAAAGTAACATTGTATTTGATTTAAAAAAAATAATAATTCATTCCTCGCTGCAACTCTTAACGTTTTTTAGATAGAGTGTCTTTATATGGCGTCTGATATATTCCATTTAAATGTTTCAGTTTTGAATTCAATTATTGTAGCAGATTACATCAAGAATAATATGTCTCTTAACTCAAACTATTTTAATTAGTTCACATGTACTTCACTTTTCGTACTAAAATGGGATATTTTCTACTTTTTTCAAGTATTCTGTACTTCGTGTAAGGATACAAAATAATATACTATATTTTTTTATACCAATCAGACAGATCCGCTCATTACCCGAGCTCGGTCGCTGTCTCCACCTCCTGTTATAGACATCTTCACCTTGCTTGCCATAGCTTCACATATACTCATCTGTAAATATATATACGCTCATACAATTACATATACAATTATAGTGATCATAAAATAATGCTGATCTAGAAAAAATGTGTTCTTAAACAGTACTGGAAATCTTAGATCAAATATATAGAATTATTTTAAAACAAAAAATATAGTGATTAAAAACAAGACGACATTTAAAAGAAGTTTCGCAAAATAGTATATTAAAGATTTGTTTTTTTTTCAATGAATTTAACTTTAAAAACAATTATTTATTAATGTCTGTCTTCATGGCATCATATTGTTATTACATTTCATTACAGTCCCTGGCCAAATTATTGTTTTTATGTGACTAAAACCGGTTTGCACTTGTTTACGCTAGTGCATCAATTGGTTAAATTAGGCGATATATAATATAAATTTGACAATAGGATAATTTAGACGATATATTATATAAATATGGAATATTTATTATATCAAGCATTATATTAGTATATGATAATATTTAGATCAAATTATTAGACTCACTGTAGTTTTTAAATAATGACATGATTTGCCCGAGTTTATATGCAATACTTTTATATTTAAGCATATATGCAATGGGTTTTATTCAGGAGATTATTTATATACTTATATACTTCCTATTTGTATTCATTTTTAACGTATTAGATTGCAATGTTAACCAATTGATACAGGAGCGTAACAAATGCAAAATGGTTTCATCCGAATAAAAACAATACAGCTGTATAGTAACACCTGATAGATATAATTTTATATAGAATCTTATAGTACGTCTAATAATGTGGCCAGGGACTGTAGGATCTAAATTTTTCAACTATTTTATCGTAACTTTTGTTTTTACCCCCATCGCTGTCAGATTATTTTTGAATTTCCGACCAATGAAAGCATTTTTTATTGATGAAAATTAATATATGTTCTATGCTAAATTCGAAAATGAAAAATATTTTTGTCAGCAAACAATTTTTTGCTTAGCCTATTGGTGGTGAAATATGTAATTTCCAGTCCACTGATTTCTCGTTTTCCTTGATTAAATCCATAATTCCATAAGAAAATTCACTATGAGGACATATATATTAACTCTATTGCTTTATGGTGTTTGCATAAAATAATTTTTAAAATTAGATGAAAATTAATTTCCAACTTTAAACTTCATAACAATTTTGACATGCAAAGTTATGGAAAGTACAAAATGATTTTGATTTCAATTCAAGGCGGGAATTGTGAAAGAAGTGGGACTAATTGCGCCATCTCTTAGCAATATTCAGAAATACAAAAATAACCGTAGTATTTAAAGAGACGTGTAAGTAGTGATGAATTCCGAGATCAGCTCAAGCCTTGTTCGAGTCAAGACGTGTTTATTCTCAGCTCCGTAATGTCGATTAACCGAATAGCTCGCGGCGGAAAGGTGTCACCACCTAGCCGCCCAAAATCACCTGAACCGGAATCGGACCAGGAATACGGAAACTTCTATGATTATAAATCAATTGAGGATGCCATCGAATTCAATAAGGAATTCCTCCCGCCCGACTCATCAACCAACTCTTTAGATTTCTACTCTAAATTCAGCTTAGAAGACCTGGTTCTTATTAAAACCTTGTTTATTGAACTTCTTCGAACTTGTGATTATGGACTAGTTTACGACCACTTCAAAAAACTTTGCACCCTTGTGAAAATCGTCCATAGAGGGAAAACTACTCCTCAGAACAGGAGAAAAAAGAGGAACAAGAGCAAACCCAAGAAACTTTCACTTTAGTTCCTGAGACCATCACTACGGAAACGGAGATCACCTCCACCCCAGTGGTAGAAAATATGGAACTCAGTGTTGGGGCCACGGCCTCGGATACTGAAAACATCACCGAACCTCCTGCCAAAAAGAGGAAAAAGAGGAAGAAGAGACAAGCCAAAGCCTGACAACTGTACTCCCACCTCTGCTTCCCCTCCACAGCCGGAGAGAACTTCTGAGATCCCAGTAGAGCCTAACACCCATGCCATGGAGACTTCACCCACAGATGATAAAGTCCCACTTGTAAAGAACGAGAAAGTGCTCATCCGAGGACTCCCAGATAATTTCAGTACAGATGAGATATCATTAGAACTAGGGAAATCTAACATAGAGGCTTCCAAAGTTGTGCAGTTTAAGAAGAAAGTGGGAGGAGCCTATAGGCCACTCTACCTCGTAGTCACTCCATTACTGGCCAACCAAACCAAGATATATCACATTGAAAGCCTGAAACAGATCCCGATTGCCGTGGAGAAGTACAGAGGAGGAAGAGGACCCACACAGTGCTTTAGATGCCAGGGCTTTGGGCATACTCAACGTAGCTGCACCAAAGAAACCAGATGCATGAAATGTGCCGAGAGGTATTTTCATACCAGTGCCAAAAGCCCAGAGACAGGCTAAGTGCTGCAATTGCCAGAAAAATCATACTTCAAACTTTACTGGGTGCGAGGCCCGCCCCAGTAAAAGGAGACCAAACAACAAAGACTCTTCTCCAACCTCCAGTGCCCATAGACTAGTTAGTCTAATCAGTGAACTCAAAGATTTGTTGAAAAATCAAGAAGTACTTCAGCTGCTCACGACTCTAATCCAGGGGAACACCCCATCAAACTGATGTCTTTCTGCTACCAATCCATGCCTCACCACATCATGGACTCAAACCTGAACTCTCAGTTTAGCACTTTTACTTACATATGACTTCCAGTTTTATGTCAACTAGAATCGACGAATCGGCTAGTGGCCCTTCGGGCCAAATACCGAGATTGTATTAATATCAAGCATCTAGTGATGAATTCCATTTCAGGGATGGAATTTTTCTTTTCGTCGCATGGCATGTGACGCTGCCTATACTGGCAAGAAAACACCGAATATATGAGATGCAATGGCGACAGAGAAGTGATTAAGTTAAAATCTTCTTCTTTTCTTTAATATTTTTTATTACAAATGAGATTATTAAACTCATAAGTTTTCTATAATATTTAAATTACCAGTAATAATATGTTTCTGATGTTTATCAACAAAATCAAAATATTCCTCTTCTTCACAGTGACAGAATCGGATATATTAATCCTTCCTAATTTTTTGCTAATACCATTATAGTTAAATATAGTTCTATCAAGAGATTTATTATATTTAAAGCTTTTAATTATGTTAAAATCTTTTCATGGAAACAAATTTTTTAAATATTCAGAAATATTATAAAATTTGATCTTATCGAAAATACGGCTTTGAAAGTTAATAACGAAAAATAAATTATATATTTTTTTCCTTTTATTTGGGAAAAGTTTACTCCTTTTAGCTTTAACAAGGTCGAAACAAAGTATTTTGAAGTGTAAATTAATGAAAAAAAAGTTTATAATAAGATCTTGAAGCTTATATACATCATTATTCTCGAGGAAGAAAACAAAATTCTCAATTCCTCTTTTTTTCTCTTTGTCCTTTTTGTATTTATTTATTGTACTTATANATATATATATATAAGTGAGGGGAAAAACAATTTTAAATTCACAGGAAATTATGTTGTATGGATCTCCAAAAATCAGTACCAAGAATAGTTACCCTTCACAACAGTGAAATATTTTTCTTCCAGGGCATAAATATGTATCGTAATTCTTTTCAGTATTGAAACGTATTTAGTTATGAAATACATAAAATTAAAATCTTAAAAATTATACAAGAAACTAAAACTTGAAATTCTTTGTTAATTCTAAATTTGTTATCAAAATTATTGTTGCTAATGGAATAATTTTTACTTTATAATTGTTGAATGACTATTTTATTTTTCAACCAATGCTATTAAACTTATTTCACCAAAAAATTTATTTCTATTTACCAATCTTAAATTGAATAAAAATTCTCATGCTTCTCCAATTCAATTTTAAATGTTTATATCATGTATAATTTTCTATATTTATTTTGTAGAGTTTTCGAACGAAAACATACTAAAATCGCGAAATGTTTAATTCAGCTTTTCATTTAGTCTAAGAACAGTTGCTTTGTAAGCCACTTGAATACGACAGTAATAATTCTAAATTATTTGGATTATAGTTTTGTAGATATAGTTGAGAGAGTGCTTGAAGTTGAACTTTTATTTGAGTGTGATGAATCAGATTTTTATTTTTTTCTGCAAATAAACCTTGTCGAACAATTTAATTCTTTAAATCATGCAGTTCCAAATAACTGATAATTCATTTTACTGATTAATGGATTTTTAAGAGACATGTCTTTACAATGAAAACTAATTAAAGATATTTTTTAAATGACTAAACACACGCTTTTCTAATATCTCAAAAATATCTTTTTTAACCCATACGCATGTGATGTTAGCAGTTTTAGGTTATTTTTCATTATAATAATAAAAAAATACTCCGTGACGCTTTTAAATGCTACTTAGAGTAAAATATTCAGAAATATTAAATAAATGAACTATAAATCAGTTCTGTAAATTTATTTACACAAGTGTATTGTTTGGTGCATAAAATAATTAAACATATTAATACTATAATTTAAATGTTTATTACTGAAATTTTAAGATTATGAAAAATAAATTCCATATTTAATAAAAAATATTACGTTTCCACGTGACAGTAAAGGGAAATTAGTTTCAATTGTTTTAAAATATATCCCACAGTTGAAAGATGAAATGATTTTAGAAAAATAACTATTTTTAGAAACTCAAGACGAATAGAAATTTTCGAAGTTTTGAATTAATGGAAAAAATAATGTAAGAAGTCGAGAAAAACGAATGTATTCCTAGAAAATAAATTACAAAATTGAAATAAAAAGATTGGAATCTAGATCTTTAAAAAAAAACCGAATCCTTTTAGACCTTATCAAGCAATAAAAATCAGTTTTGATTACGTTTCTATCTTTCTAAGAGTTTCCAAGTAAGAGAAAACCTAATCTTCGTTTTCAACTATCGATACTTTTTTTCGATAATAATAATCTATAGAAGATAAATAATATCGTTTTGTTCTTTTGTAATTTCAAAATAATAGGTCCATCTAATTATTTTATACATTTGTTTTTTTCTGTATTTTTATTATTTTATTTTAAGATGATTTCCAAGATATAAATATTTAGTTGCGAGTTTTTTGCCATTAAAATAGGAATTTCAAAGGGAAAATTGAATCGCTTTTTTTTTTGAAGAACCACTTTTTTTTAAAAATTACGTCTAATAAATAGAAAATGATTAAGTTAATTAAAAAATTTATTCATTGGCTTTATCGTTATACAAATTTAATTGATCCATTTTGGGAAAGTTTAATAACTTAGAATTATTTTTTTAGTTAGGTTTGCAACCCAAGGCATAAAGTGATCATGAACTTAGAAAATAAGTGATTTACCTACCTCAGGAATAAATGATTTATGTACCTACACTGTAAAAAAACTAGGTAAATCTTTAACCAGCATTTGGTGCAAAGTTTGTCATTATCCCAATGTTGAGTTAAATGTAAGATATCAGTTACACCATAAATTGGGAAGTATGATCGAGAAATACTTCCATTGTGCAACTGACGGCACCAAAATTTGGTAAAAGACACAAAACTTTAGCGGTGACTGTAAACTGAACGATATTTGTTTACGACGCCATCTTTTAAAATATATCTTGCAACTCGGTCTTTTCTTTACAACTCGGTCTCGGTGTACCAAGACGACTAATGAATATTATTTTAAGTTTCTACTTATTTAGCTAGGTAAATGGCTTATTTGCATTCATTAAAGTTTATTTCATTTTATGTTGGTTTTTTAAATTTGGTGCTAGGTATAAAATGGTTAGAGGTATGTCAAAAAATAAGTTCTTACGGAAAACAGTTGTGTTACGGTAAATATCTACCTTGGCCTGCATTTGAGCACTTTAAAAATACCAAATAATGGTGCAATCTTTCTTTGCTTTTATAAAAGAAAAAATAGAAATGTGAAGAAATGAAAATACCGTAAACCGGGGCGAGTCTACCCATTTTTTTCAGTTTGTCAACTTTCAAGTGGTCAAACTTTTGTAAATATTAAAGAAAAAAGGCTTTTAATAGGTGTTTCGGAATCGCTATTTATCCCTCTTTAAAGCTGTGAAATCGATTTTAGAAAATATTAACAGTTACGCTGTTACTGTATATTTTTATAGAACTGCTGACAAATCTCTCGTATGGGGCGAGTCTACCCATTCTACTAAAATGAATGTTAACATTGTAAATAATCAAATTTTACTATTAAATTGTTATTTTAGTTACTATATAGGATATTTATGAAGTAAAATTCATAACTTTATTATATATTCCATTTTTTT